GTTTTCGTCTTAGAACTCTGACCCTTTACATGCCTCGACTGTATTTAATATTAATAAATGTGGAACTCTCGGATGTCAGTTTTGGGTCCCAGAAGCAGGTTTTCTGGTGGCTATTTGGCTCCATCGAACAGACTGCTTCCGATTTGGGGAGATGAGAATTCTCACATCGCACATTTGGCTGTTTAACTCAACACGGGTTCAGACTGATCAAGGCTTGTATCTTTAATGTGTACACCAAACTTTATCCATGTGTGAAAAAACAGCCCTCAGCCATTTGCAGCACGCGGCATCTTTCCGCCTCGTTGCTCAAAACCCCAAACTCAGCCCGAACAACAAAAAAAAAAACCCCAGACGGTGCACGCTCCAGAGGTTTTATCTCAAATGAGAAGTCTGCTTTGTTTTCTCCTTTCTGCCGCTTCTCGTGTACCTCGGCGTGGCGCAAAACAACCTGTTTCACCCAATTATCTCTCCCACAGGGGCACCGTCAGGCAATTTGGCTCCAGTCAAGACTCTTGATTCATTGAGCCAGATGATTTAAAGCACAAGTCATCCCGCTAGAACGAAAACTCCAGTACAGAAATAGCGTGTTACTTACCAGTTTTCTTCTTCTGTTCCCATATGATTGTGCGATAACACGACGTTGAAAAGCAATGCGTAATAATGCGTCGCACACTGTTTCTTATAGAACGGAACATATGTTACATACATCTCGGTAACCAATAGCGACAGCAGAACTTTTTGTCCTTTGTACTAACAAACAACAACGAACCGACTGGTACAGACGGTCTCCAATAATGACTGTGAGAGGTTTGTGCTGCAGGCGCTTCATCTGATGCCTGCGGAATAGCCTCGCTTGTAATGTGCTTCTAGCAGCAGCAGATATCTGGATCACTGAAACAATTCACGTGCCTTTAATAAGCCATTAGAGCAGCAGAAAAAAAAGAGGGCAAAATAGCTTTTGCGACCTTGCTGGAATGTGTTGTGTGATGTTTTCCAAATGATGGATCCAAGTGCCACGTCAATCTGGATTGTTGCAATTAGAAAAGCGATGCCTAACGAACCCCGCCTCTCCAAAAAAAAAAAAAAGCTATTTTAAGTCATTCGCTTTCAGCTCCGAGAAGCAACCGAGAGGATAATTGGGTATTGACAAAAGAGTGTGAAAACCCAAGACAGCATGCGAGACCACTCTCCAATTTACCCCGTCATCTGGAGGCCCTGATTACGCTGTTTACCGAGCAGATAATTGGGGCGACGCTCGATAAAAACAAACATTTTTTGGGGGGGAGGGGGCAGGACGTCAAATAGGAGCAAACTTGCATGTAATAATTTGGAGCATTTAATTGGGCGGACGCTTCCTCGTTCACTGCAGCTGCTTGTGACGCTCCCACAATCGCTTCCCGGATCCCCGGCGTCTACAGCGTGTTGTTCACTGGGAGTTCACACGAGGCCTCTCGGGCTGCGACGCCGAACGCCATGTCGTGCGCTGCTGAACGAACTAACGCGGGCTGGTTTTATGCCGCATGCCTGCTTCCACGTGCACCAATCAGGACTTGGAAGCATTTTAAGGAGATGACAGTCGTCGGGTGGTTTGCTGCTGTTGCCTCCTGAGGGCCAAATCCAATAAACATATATTTTTAAAACACACAATTTGGAAGGTCAGACAAGGCATTAAATCTTGAATGAGGGATAATCCAAATAGATTTTTGCTCGTTTAGTTATTCGTATTTAATATAATCAAGGGAAACTTAAGGTTTGGTACAAAGTTTTCAGAAGTTTTAAAAAAGCTACAAAAAAGATAATTAATTAAAGAACAGCACTTATTCGTTTGATTTAATTTTCCAGTTGCTACGATTAGTGCACTATATATATATAAAAAAAATATATATATATAAAATATAAAAAAATAATATTAAAGAAAACACCAATTAAAACATAAATACACAATAAAATCAAATGGTCGGAATATGAATGAATGATGAGATCATCCTTTAATAGTCCCTATTTACCAGAGACGATCAGATGGGACTAAATGTTCCACTCAAACCCTCTGTGGAGGAGCTCCATCTAGTGTTGAAAGCAACCATCTGTAATTCCTTCTGCCTGTATGGAAGAACTTTACCTTCATTTATTGCAACAGGTGAACCACATGTTTCTGATCCAAAGGAGATATCTGGTGACAACGAGGCCCCATGAATGACTGCAGGCACCGAGATAAAGAGCAGAGGAGGTTCGTGTGGCCTGTTGGTCATCTGCTGCACTTATGACTCACGCACCCACCTGACTGAAGCCCCCTACAACACAGGCCATCTGCTGTCTGTTTGTGGTCGTTGGTGCCAGGACACCCAAGGGTACCCCGTGTGCACGAGGGGGGCGGTTGCATAACCACGCCGTTAACCTTAATTGGAGCAGCTTGGTGGAACACAGGAAACCCTCCAGCGCTCTGAGACGGCGGCGTTGTTCCCCCGAGCTGCATAAAACCCAAATGTGAGTTAATTGAATTGCAGAACAGTTGCTGGCTGATGAGGAGCAGCTCCGGTGCTCTTACCCAATAATGAAGCCACAATTCACTGGCTGCTCCCCGACGTGAGGGGGCTGTATAATAAATACATATGAAAAACTCAACAGTAATGATATCCGGAAAGTTTTTCAAATGTATCTTTTATATAAGACCTGAGCTTTAGTTGAAAGAAAGAAGCTTCAAGGATATTGGAAAGATCTAAAAAAAAAACACAACATAGTTAGAAAAAATGAATCTTCAATTTGAGGTGAGCTGAACCCTTTAAAATGCAAACGTTTAACCGGCTCCACGGCACTGTGTGAGGAACACACAAAATACTGGTGCTTTAACATCCATTTATCCCCGTCGACATCATTCGGTCTTTACGCGGAGCGATAGCATCATGAATATCTCCCACTCATCAGAGGAAACAGCCCACAGCGCTTCCTCCCTAAAGCGGTTATCTCATACCCATTAATCCCCACACAGATTGGATTTCAAAGGGAGATTACTGCGAGATGCATCTACGCCACGTGGGGGGGGGCTGGTGATGACTTCAGGAACGATCATTTTCTGCATCTATACATCGGTGTTGTTTACACCGCGAGCCGCCCGTTAGTTCCACGCCGCTTGTGACTCAAATACGCAATTATTGTTGGGCAGAATTCACCATCCGTCAGTTTGAAACGTGCAAAACACACGGCAGGCTTATAAAAAAGGGCCTTCAGCAGGAGGCCTGAACGCAGTCGCATGGAGCCAGTCCCAACATGCAAAAAGGCTCATTATGAAGGCATTTAGTATGAACGTATGTAACGGTATGATACTATTGGAACACCCCCCCCCCCAGAGATCAGGCTGGTATTCGTTAACTGGGGGATTTGGAGGCTTCAGCTCCTAACAAAGAGTCCTTTGATCAGATGTATTTACGGATTATTCCATTGAGATGTTTGACTTTATACGTTTTCTTAAACCGATGGATGTTTGTTACCAATGCAAAATGAAAAATTGTGTGTTGTTTTTGTATATTTTGGACCGAACAAACACGCAGCGTGATGACGATGAATTCTGTGTGTTTCGTTCATGCGCCGACCACAAAAAGAACAACAAACCCAAGTAGCAGTTCACAATTTATTTACTGAATAAATTTGGACAAAACACCAGAATCTGTTACGATACAATCAGAACATCTGAGGCAGATATCCCACCATGCACCACCCTCCTCCATGAAACAAAAGGACTAAGCAGTAGCACCGGATCAGCACCAACTTAAATAAAAGTCTACAAAAAAAGCAATTTCTTTTAACTTATGTATTGAAAAGCAAATCAGAAAAGTTGCAAATTGAGAAATTTCATGGTTTCTTTTGTGTACTTTTCTTAAAAACTTAGAACACCCTCCCCCCCTCCCACCCCACCCCCCCCACCCTCGCTAGCCAGGTTATTGCTTTCATGGGGGACATGGCAACGACTAGATCAAAAACACAAATTCAAGTAACATTGAGATACGACACAAGGCGCCCGCAGGCTCCCACTCGGAGCGCAACACTATGACCCGATCGTATCACGGCCGTGAGAAGAAGTGAGGGAGACCGGGTGGGGGGGGGGGGGCTGTTAAAAAGGGGTGAGGGGGGGGGGGGGGGGGGGAATACTAAGAAGATTGTGTATTCCATAAACTTCAGACAAGCCATGTGCGTCTGTCCTGTGTCCAGATATTGCCTACATCATACATGAAAAAGGAATCTCTGAAGGAAAACCCTGCAATGTGGTTTTTAAATATATATATTTATATTTATTTATAGAATATATATATATATATATATATATATATAGCTGTTACATTTTAAATAAATGTTACGTTCTCGTTCCTACAATTGAAGAATTCATTTAAATAAACAGGAAGTTAATTTTGAGAGGCGGACTCGTCCGACGCCTCGAGCGCATGATGCCGCGGATGGAAGGAAAACCAGAAGAGAGGAGTTGAGGCTCCTGCAGCGACACCAGCAGCACGACCGACACCGCGGAGTCGCTTTGAGACTAAAAAGGACAGCGGGGATGAGGAACAGAAGCGCGGATGACTGAAAAGCAAAAGAGGAGTTAAGCGGCTGGGAGGGAAAATGACGACAGCTTGGGGTCGATGTTGTTCCTGTTGTTCCAACTGATGGAGAACCGAACCGGTGAGGAAAGGTGCCGTGTTGCGCTTTGTCAGTTCGTTCGGAATCCCTCTCCTTGGTCTCCGGTGCTCATTTGTCCCTTCCTGCTTTCCATATAGTGTCAAAAATGGTGAATGCGTCTACTTTTAAGCCCACCACATTAAACCAAACGGAACAACATACATTTTGCTACATTGTTTGCAACTTGCATGTCCGCCTGGCGCCGCGGCTCCCGCTCGCCGCCAGGTGACGGGTAGATGCCATTTGTCGCGGCGGGCTCGAGGTTTCCCCAAGAAAAACGGTGGAAAGAGGAAACATGATGGAAACAACCTTTATTATGAGACAAATGTTCACCTATTAATCTCTAAACTACTGTTTACGGCTCTGCTGAGAGCGCGGCGAGCCGACCGCGGCCGAGTCGTCCGTTGCTTTTTTTTTTTTTTTTGTGCTTGGTGTGTGTGTGTGTGTGTGTGTGTGTGTGCGCTCGTGTGTGTGTGTGCTCAGCTGAAGAACTGCTCCAGCTCCTCCTTCCATGTTCACCTCGGGCACGATCTGCTCCTGCTCCCTCTCCGCCCTGCCGGGCACCACGGCGCCGCCCAGCGCCCCGGAGGAGGCGAACCACGGGTGCTCCAGGACCTCCCGGGAGGTGAGGCGCTCGGCGGGCTCCCGCCGCAGGATGGAGCGGATCAGGCACTTGGCCTTGGGCGTGAGCGTCTCGGGCACGTTGAAGTGGCCCCGGCGGATCTTGCTGAACAGGGAGCCCGGCTCCACGTCGTGGAACGGGTAGCGCCCCACCAGGATGGTGTAGAGCATCACGCCCAGACTCCACACGTCCGCCGCCTTCCCCGAATAGCAGCCGTTGGCGTTGAGGATCTCGGGGCTGACGTAGGCCGGGCAGCCGTGTTTGTCTGAGAGGGAGTCGTCGTGGCCGTCCAGGATGTAGGTGTCCTCGAGGCTCTCCAGCTTCACGAGGCTTCTGGGGGACACAAAAAAAGAAAGGACAAAGCGATGACGCCGCTTTACGAGAACAGCGGACGCGCGGAATAATCCAGCCGACGCCAACGCGGCCAAGTGATGTGACCCCGATCGCAGTTCCACTTTTGGATAACAAAAACGGAAAGGCGAGACGCTCATGTGGGGGGGGGCATCTTAAAGTGTTTTAGACCCAATGCTTCTGGATATCAGCGGAAGTGGAGCAGATGATGCCCGGGGGCTCAAGTCTGACATTTCCTTTCACTTAGATAAAAGCCCGGCCAAAAAAGACATTGACGTACGAACAGGCTTTCCGAAAAGACCTCCCTCTATTCAAAAGAAACACAATTATGGGTGACTGATGGTTTTACGTTACATGCATTCAAACAACATTCGGGGCCGTGCAAACGCCGCCGCCTGCCTGTGAGCTGCACGAGACCCAACGCACCACACAAAGAGGGGAAGGAAACCCGGGCGCACTGGCACCGACACTTTCTAGTGACACATTTCAATTAGCCCACGTGTTATTTGCTATCCTTTAAATACAGCACTGAATAACAGTTTAGTTGGACGACCTGTGCAAACCTGCAATTATAGTTAAGGGCTTAGAAAAACAATGGGATGCAATGCACGCTGGTCCAATAATGTCTACGTGCTTGGTGTATCTATAGGGCCCTCCTAAGAAGCCATGTTGTATTCCAGGCCGGGCCGACCTTTGACCCATGCTCGTTAAGGCCAGCAGCGGCGTGAGCCGGAGCACGCCGGGGAGCTGGCACGCGCCGAGGACGCCTGCTCAGGTGGCCTTCTATGTCTGGTCTTGTTCCCCTGCTTCACTGTGGCCTTTCGTCAAACCCCGAACGCCGGCGTCCCCTCTGGTCCGCTGAGCCACAGGGACCGAAACGGGGTGAGAGGATTCCTGAGCGGCCAAACGGGGAATGTGACCCGATACTGCCCACTCTTAAAACTCACCCTCAATCATTTAATGGGGAGGGGGGGGGGGGGGGGGTTGGAGCGTCTGACTGGTGGGACATTTGAGGTCACTGGAACCGCAGTGAAGACGTGAGGCGGCTCAACTTCCCTTTTCCACAGTTTGTGCCAAAATATGACGTCACACTTTCAGCTAAACGGGCAGTCGGCGTTCGATCGGAGCGGCTTGTTAAAATAAAAAAAGATCCCCAAACTAACTTTAGAATTAAAATGTTATCTTTATTAATTTATAAAGAAAAAATAAAAAAATGAAAGGTGCTCTCAGGTTGCTGGGGCAACAGAGGGCTGAATTTTATGCAATTCATGGTGAAATGCTGCCACCAGGGGTCAGTAGAGCGTCGACTCCTCCTGCTGATCATAAACTCAACCGGATTAATCGTCCGTCATGCGAAAGCGACTCGCGTAACTTCGCCCGCTGCTTTTGGAAGAAAAAAAAAAAAAAAAGCACCACAAGCCATCCTATGACGTGTGCGTCATTTCCACTACTAAACCTACAGAAATAGCTCAGGGCGACAGTAAGGAGGGGGGGCTGGGTGAGGCGTGCCATTCTGGTATCGTCTCAGTTTACACTATCCTCCATGTAAGCCGAGACACAACACGGATAATACTGACACGGCTACAATGTGCACATACATCACATGCAAGTCCAGGTGAAACAGGTGAACGCCAACGTGCACGGCGATCGTTGCCTCGGCAGAACTCACCTGTCGTCATTCTTGAAGACGAACTTCCTCAGTTTGAGGTCGCGGAGGACCAGTCCGTTGTCGTGGCAATGCGCCACGGCCGAGGCTATCTGATAGAAGAGTCTGGCAGCTTCGTCCTCCCGCAGCTTCTTGCAGGTGCGGACGAAGGAGTGCATGTCGCCATAGCTGCGCTCAAAGAACACGTAGGCTCTGGTCTCCCCGAGCAGGATCTCCAGGATCTGGTTGATGTGCTGGTGCTGGCCGAGGGCAAAGTAGGCCGCCAGCGACTCCTGGTATCGGCCAATTTCAAAGACCTGCAAACAGAACACAGGGAAGCATATAGATTTAAAGTTAAACATTTAAGATATGAAAAAAGAGCTACGGTGACATGAAGCGTGAAACCCTCTCATTATGTGGTTGTTTTTTGGGGTCACGATGTTTGTGATAACAACCCCCCCCACGTCAGAGACAAACTCAAATTGTCCTTTAATTTGCACATTTACTGCTTCTTGTGACACCGGACTTGTTTTTGCTCTTTAGGCAGAGGAAGTCTGGTCGCAAAGAGGCAAAGTGAAAGCATTGTGTTACTGAACGCCGCTGTACTGCAGCCAGGGTTTGCAGTGTCTTTTGTTTCCATAGTAACCCCCCCCCCCATTCACTTTCAGCACAACCAGTTCAGGTGAGTACTTTGCAGTCGATACGAATACACCCCTACAGCTCTGAAGTAGAGACCCCGGCCTCCAGCCTGCTGGGACTGATCAATCCTGCAAGGGGGGGGATTGATCGGTCCTGCACTGGAACCACCGGCACATAGGGGATGAGGTCAAGAGCCAGTTAGCTCACAGGCGGTGCCAAAGGCCGCTCATTTGTTGTTGCCATGACGAAAGGAGTGAGTCAAAAGGTTATTGGACGGTCGTGCCTCACGAGTCCACCGGTGCGTGCAACGACCTCGCTTAAGCCTGTTTAAAATGGAGTGTACCTGCGTGACAACGCCACCGCCCTCACAATCAGTGTGATTCCACGGCCCATATCGGCCATAAATGTGGGTTGTCTTTAACCTTGACGGACAAGTGGTTTCCTTTTTCAACGGTCTGAGGGGGGGGGGGTCAATGGCAGCAGCTGCCTGCACTATTAAAGTCCCCCAGCCTCCCCGGGGTTCTCCTCTCTGCACAACCGTGCACGGAATATCACCATCGCCGTGCACATCGGTGCAAAAGGACGGTGCTTAAGCTGCCAAGTAAATAAATAACGACAGAAGGAAGTCGGGGGTGAGCAAGAATGAAACAGGGAGAGTGTGTGTGTGTGTGTGTGTGTGTGTGTGTGCGTGCGCGCGCGCCTGGTAACTCACTCCTTTGTCCACATTACATCATGCAACCCAAACCACGCAGCTCACCCATTCACTTTTTCCATTAAGCTGCCCTGCCTGCTCTCTATTTACAATTCCAGCAATTATTTTTTTTTTTAAAAGTGCAGAGGGCTGCAGACGCACAGACACCAACTAGGTGTTTCACTGCGGGGGGGCACGTCGAGCCCGTTCGAAACGAAGCCGCCGTGGCTCCTGTTGCAAAGATTCGCACTTTGTCACGATAGATAGCTTTTAAAATAAAAAAAGAAGGTAGGATGCAGCCACCACGTCGCCTACTAACCTTACATACGAGCTCTTCCCCGCTGTGCAGGTGGGCGGCTCTGAAAACGTGGTCTCCCTCCAGCGGCTCCAACAGGAGGTAGTCCCCGATGCGGGAGATGCAGTGCGAGGAGTCCGGGGTCTCCGGCGGGCTGGGGGACCCGAGGTTGGGGCTGAAGCTCTGGTGCGACTCGCTGGTCCTCAGGCAAGACAATTCCTCGAAGTCGTGCGATTTGTGCCGCGATCTCCCATAACGTGAAATGTTAATTGGATTTGACCTCTGTATGTTCATGAGGAAGAAGGGCGACAACTCCACAAAATCTGCGGGGTGGGGGGAGAGGGGGAGGGGGGAGAGAGGCACCCGGGGGTGTGTGGGAGCCCTTTCCTCCTCTTTGATCTTCTCCCCCTTCCTTAAAGGCAAGACTTTTGGGACGAACTCAGTGCATTAAACACGCAATAATCCGCCGTGCTGGAGGCTCGTGGAGGAGAAGGGAGCGCGCTGCCTGCGGGGAACGTGGCGGACTGTCACGCGCGAAGCCGGCGCGCTGCCTTTCATACAACTGAGGGGGGGTGAAAAGAAAAAAAGAAAAACCTCTAAATTATTATTATTATTTATTTTCAACTGTAGATTTCCGCACCTTTGTTTTCCATTCGAGAGACTCGACCGGGCTTTATAAAAAAAAATAATTAAAAAATGGCAGAAGTCGACTGAATGCGCCGTTTGGTGCGAACCGGCATGCAGAGTCGGTAACGGCAGCAGCGCGAGCGGGCAGCGAGACAAAGGCCGACTTCCCCCCCCCCAAAAAAAAGTCCGTGGACCGGGCGCTAGCTTCTCTTCACCGTGGCAACGGGACGGCACGTTTCATAAAACGGAAACAATTCACAGCCGGCGGGCACGGGAGAAGAAGCACACATGCAATATGTAGACGTATTTATATAAATAGAGCAAGTTTCCTGCGGGCTAAAGATAGCTGCTCAATTTAGCCGAAATTTGACGAGATGGCTAGCAGGTGCAGAGCTAACCAGTTAGCCTACTTGGCTAACTAGGACCAGGTCAGTGCACGGCCTTGTTCCCGGGGATCATATCCACGCACGGCGATTGTCATCTACCGCAGAACGGAGAAAAATCCATCCGGAGCTGAATAAAAAGCTGCTCTCCTTTTTTTGTTCTGGTTCTTGTTGTTGGTGCGCCGGGGGAACCGGGACGTCCTCGGTTCCGTCTCTCGTCGGTCTACTCCGGGCTGAAGGAAAGAAAAAAAAAAAAAGTGTCGTCCGTCTCGTACGCGAGCTGCTGCTGAGGACAGGATAGGGACGGCCGGCCGACTTCCCCAGGCCGATCCCTTGATTTAACAGGACATCCTCTCTCTCGCTCTCTCTCTCTCTTTGTCTCTCTCTGTCTCTCTCTCTCTCTCTCTCCCCCCCTGCCGGTGCGCCGCTGTGCTTCTTACGTGGCTGGGAATCTAGTCCATTCAAGTGCGGAGGGGAGGCCGAGCTGCGCCTGCACAGGAGCGAGAGCGCCGACAGAAGAACGAGGGGAGGAGGGAGGAGGGGGGCTTCTCCTGTACGCACACACACACACACACACACACACACACACAAAGGGGCACGGCGGACCCCGCCCCCTTGACGTCACGCCCACATCGAAGCCCCATTGGCCTCCGACCTGGGATAGAACATGCAGCGCAGTCATGTGAGAGACCCCGCCCCCCCCCTCTTCAAGGAATCTAAATGCACAGCACGCTGGTAAATTGGAGGCGGGGGGGTGAGGGTATATCTCCTGTACGTGCTGTGTTACAAACGTGTTTCTCCCTGAAATGTCAGCCAAGTGGAAAGGAGGGAGTCCCCCCCCCCCCTCCTCTCCAGAGCTGATGCGCACGTGCCACGTCGTTTATGGAAGTGCATCGCCTGGTGTTGTGAAAACATGGGCTTCCATCAGCGGTTGAAGATGTGTCCTCGTTCATCCGACGGGACTGCATTTCTCCCCCTAAAGTGCATAACAAAACCCTCATTTCCAAAAAAAAAAAAGAAAAGCCGGCGCGGGGCCGCGCGCGCTGCGGAGACGTCTCTCGTGTGACACATTCCCGTCTTGCAGATTTGTGCCCCCGTGATGCATCACCGAGCGACGGATGGAAGAGGTGCATTATTGTTCCCCGCGGATCACCAGCGGGCCGGATACGTGTAATTCCACGAAGGAACATCCGGGGCGGCGAGAGGAATGCTCGCAGCTGGACGAGAAGACACAGGCGGAAGTGTTCGATTTAACCTTTATTCCTCCCCCGAGGAGGCCGCGCACGCGGATACACAAAACGCGCACTATTCTGCGTGTTGTGTTTTCGCGCGTGCATGCCTAAAATAAACCCCCGCGGCGTGAACATGCGTTTGTCCCACGGAGGCTTCTCGGTGGGTTCACAGTTTCACAATGTGTTTTACATCCCAGGCCTCATTATTGTGCATGCGTGTTCTTTTCCCTGCGTTCCGTGATATAATCTACCCACCCACTGTACATTCTTCCCCATACAACAATACAACAACGTGGCTTTTGTCTAATTATGTTAACAACAACTCTCAGCATGCTGCTGAAGAATGGAGAATGTTGGACACTGGACAAAACACAGTGATACTGTATATACGCACACGCTATGCACACGCTACCAGAGTGCATCATGTGTTTGCTCATCACTCCAAGCTCTGATAGGGATTCTGTTAAACCTAAACCACAGCTGTGCGTGAATCAGAATAATAATCCCCAAAGATTCCTTTTGCCCCCATTCCCTGATACACTGCGTGAGTCACTCGCAGCACTCGAGAGAATCCATGGAGGCTCACCAGCTCTCCAGACACGCCTCCAAGGCCCCCGACAGCCCCTTCCGGGCCGGGGGCGCCTGACTGCACACGCGTGTGTGTGTGTTTACCGCAGAAACAAGACGTGTCCTGGACGCCAACAGAGGTCGATAAGGACGGGTGAACCTTTCGGAATCCCCGGAGCGGTGTTACTCACCGACTTCCTAATAGGCTGCCTTGGCCTGTAGAAAATGATCTACGGTCGCCCCCCCCCCCCTCCCTCCCCAGCAATGCTAAAGCTACAGGAAGGCCCACAGCTTTAAATCCACCAGAGGAATGTTTTTTTTTCTCCACGGCCGGTTTGCAATCAAATGAAATTTGTTGGTATACATCTTGAAACCCACTCAAATGAGAGTTATTTTCCTCGCATTGTGCACTCGGAAAATAGGCAATTTCACACTGTCACATAGCAACGCGGCGGCAGCCAGCTCCCGTTGACACCAGCCAGAATCGGTGCCGTCACGTCCCCGCGGGCGGCCTGCACGGAGAAACGCGATCATATGTACAGGCGAGGAGACGGATGCGGAGGCACGGGAGGGTTGAGATCCCTCGGCGAGAGTGAGCGGGGACGACGGCGGCGGGGCGGTGAGGACGCGGGATGGAAAAGGAGGAGGAAAGAGGGATGAAACGTGTCGCCCCCCCCCCCCCCAACGTGGTCTTTAGAAATCGAGGCAAATGCTTTGTGTCAGGCAGGGGGACCAGATGTTTAATATATATTTGTGCGGATATCTGTGGGAGTAAGGGCACGAGTCATAGTAGCAACCAGTCACATTCATAACGGACGCGGTGGCAGCGGAGGCATTCTCGTTTCTGTGTGGACTGCAGAGCGGCCCCCTCGCGAAACTTTTATTTCTATATTTACTGGTGAGACTCATACAAGGTCGCGGTTTATTCATAGAACCCGCGGCGAGCGTGTCGGTTGCAGGGCTGCAGTTGCGATACCCTTCAATTTCATCGGAGTGCAACCGGAAAAAAAACAAAAGTTATTTGGGGGAGGGTTACGTGTGCCACATTTGGCCTTCAGCGGCACTTGGGGACCGGAGCCCTGTTTTTACCCGAGAGAGTGAGCCGATTGGAGGACACGGGGGGGGGGGGGGGGCTGATTGGGTATAATGTTTCACCGATGACACCACGATGCCGACATTTCTCCCCATTCCCTCCGAGTGGCAAATCAGCGAGCTCGGTTTGTGATCCGAAACGGATTAAAATGACGGAGAGACGAGTTGAAATTGGCAGATCCCAAAAGGTTCGTTGTGATGGACGCGTTAACCGTTGGAGCCACACAACGGGAACACAACGGGAACAACCTCTGCTGATGAACACGAGGCGTCCTCTTTGCCTCTCGGTGGGACGGTCCACGAGGCGGCGGGGAGGACGGCGTGAGCGGTTGTGAGTGGCAGGTCACGCGGACGAGGCCCCTTTTTAAAACGCAAGGGATCTTGTCCCAAAGAGCCAATGGGCGGGTGCAGGATTGGCGTCACTGGCTTGGATCTCTCCCTCATGAAGTCGGACGGCTGAGCGAGGACTCGTGGCAGCACCGGACAGGGTGACATCAGGTCACACACAAGTGGAGGAGGTTAATAATAGTCACACATTAGAGCCGCGCAGGAGTGAAATCACGCAGCTTCAGCGGCTTAAAAGGGCTTCCGAATGGCATCGGCTGCAGGAAGCGCATCTCACCTCGGCTTGTCTGCCTCTCGTCTGTGCCTCGGCTTGGCGGCTCAGATGGCGTCAACGTGAGCGCGAATGTCTTCGGGGTAAACCGTCGGCTGTTTCAAAGGCATTGCGACATTGTTGCAATATGTGGTAACTGTGTTCTGAAGTGACAGACGCACGAAAGGCGGCATCGAGCGCGTCTTGTCAAAACTGCCAGGAAGTGATTTCCCCGGCAAACGCGACATCAGCGGTGTCTCGGTTTTGCGTTTCTTCTCCCCGCTCCACCTGACAGCTGATATTGTCTCGCGCGTGGAGGGAAAACATTTCCCCGGCACGGCGACGCTTGCGCGGAGCGCGGACATTTTAGGAGACGCGGGAAGCGGGAAGCGGCAACATTACGCGGCGTCTGTCAGAAACTCTTCACCATTTTGCAGGGGAGTCGCAGCACGCGGCGAGAAGCGCGCACTCGGGGCCGCGCGTTGGGATGCGAGGCCCCTTGAGAAACACGTCGTCCGATAATCCCAGAGGCCCAGTGCTTGTCGCCGTTGGTTGTTGAGTTGTGATTCTCCACAGCGATCAGCGGCTCGGGTGAACCGCAGGTGAATCGCTTGCAGCGAAGAGAGACGTACAGTGAGAACAGATGTGCAGGCCGAGCCGAACCCCCCCCCCCCCCCCCCCCCCAGAGGCTTATCGCGGCGCTCCTCTTGAGCAACACTGGAATACCAACAGAGCGGAGCAGGCAGTGGTCGGCCCCCAAGGCTTCGGTTCCCCCCCCCCGTGCAGACTTTGTGCTCATTTGTGAATTGCAACTTGGTTTGCCGTCAGTGCCGAGAGAAGCTAACTGGGGGCTTCAGGCCCAACATGGGGTTCACCCGGTCCTGTCTGGCCTTCGAGGGGTCGACTTCCAGCAGCCAAATGAACACAGATAACGATCATCCTGCAAACCCGGTTGTCCAATTTGGGTCAAAACCGGTGCACAAAGATGGCAACGACAATCTGATTTAGTACGAACGTTCTTTAAAAAGTTAATTGGACCTGGTTGTTGTGTTTGTGAAAGTGTGATCAAAGAGGGTACGACTGAACCTAAAAACGTTTCGTGCACAGAATCACATTGTCATCCTTTATTGTCGCTTTCTCTGCGATATAATAGAACTATATGGCAGATTTAATGATTTAATCGCCAACCAAATGCACCCAACAGCAAGATCCTTTTCCAATGCTCGCAAACGGCCTGTAGACAATACAAAGATCTGGTGACTCTTAGTTCCTAGTGTGCTGCAGTACCTTCACACCGGAGGCAGATAAAAATAATACCGTACCAATAAGGGATGAATTAATAGTGCTACAGGTAACAGGAACAAATATGTATTTTTAGCTTCACTGTAGCAATTATGTGGCGGCTTATGGATCCACCTGAGGTGTCAGGTGGATGAAAGAAGAAGAAGAAGAAGACAGGCATTTCTTTTGTGACTATTCAGGCGGCTATTATATCTAATGCGACAGCATTCCAGTCACACCGAAGGAATATTCACACTGCGGAAGGTCAATTTTAAACCGTTTCTCTTCCGGGGATTGGCGCTCTGCATAATAAGCTGTGAAATGAGGAGAGCACACTGTCCTCGTCTGGCACCCTTCTGCACGAGGAACGTTAACCCGCACACATCGCCGAGACTCGAGCAACGTTCAAGCTGCTGCCATGGCAACCCCCCCCCCCCCCCCCCCCCCGGGGCATATTGCACAGGGCCGCAAAATATAAACACAAACACACACACAAAACCCACCACACACAGACGCTGAAATACACACAAGGGACCCGGCTCTCTGAGCTCCTGGGAGAGAAACGCCGCTCTCGCTCCATGAGCCATTTTGTGCCAAAAGGTGTGTTTCACAGAGGAAAATGATGGCGAGGAGTCGTGATTCACTCACCTTTTTCCGAACCATGCATCATGACGTAGACGCAGGACTCTATCGTCTGCATGATTGCGGCCGGCTCAGCGCCATTTCCCTCATCTAAAGTGCATTACCGCTTAATTATACTGTATTC